AAAATTGATCGGAGAATCACCGAGATCAAGCGATTGGGTTCCTTGCAAGGCATTAAGACGTAATCGCCGCGCACCCAAAAAGTCGTTTTCGCCCCGAAAACGTTTCGGTTATTCTCGAATATTTCGCGTTTTTTCGCAACGAAGTCGATTTTCTGGTACTTTTCTGTGGCAATTCTTTCCTTTTTTGACCAGTAGGTTCAACCCTGCACGCGCGATTTTTGACTTCCGAACCCCTTTAAAAACTCCAATATCGCCTGAAAACGACACCTTGCTAGCGGTTTTCCAACCCCGATATGCATAATGTTCTCGCAACGAGACACTATAAAAATGCATTACGTAGAACTGGACGATTGTGCAAAGGAAGAACAATAATTGGCTCTCCCCGTCCATCAAGCATCTCACTCATGTCATTTTTAGTGTCGATTCTGCTCGCAAGGCAAGCGCGAAACGGTCGGACAATTGGAACTCTGCGCAATTTGTACAACTCGGACGTTGTGGGCCTGTCTTTCCTTATTTTATCGTCCGTGTCTAGGGGCTGGTACCGTAACCCGAACGGGAAATGTGTGATGAGCAACTGCTGCGAGCTGTACTCGCTAGTCAAGGGAGACGAGTAAGCGTTGCATTCGTCACTTATGGGATGGCCTGTCTAAATTTTCATGAGCAGCTCAGTATATTCTGAATTCAGGTACCTCTGCGATTCGCCACAATTTCGTCCCCTCATGATATGTCTCGGTAATGTCGTCTTTCTGCTTTGATGATCGATTCGAATTTCTAGTGTCACGGTGCCCGAGCTGTTGGTATGATGCGCTCCTTTACGTCCACGTACAACTGCTCCAGCAGTACAGGATTCAGCGAGATTCGGAGGCCAAGAAAAAAGCCGAATCAGATTAATACTTGTCTTTGACTCCTCGCATGTGATTTGTGGCCCCTTGGAGCCAGAATTTTTGCCGTCGGCAAAGTGATGCCACGAATAAACTCTCTCTCTCTCTCTCTCTCTCTCTCTCTCTCTCTCTCTCTCTCTCTCTCTCTCTCTCTCTCTCTCTCTCTCTCTCTCTCTCTCTCTCTCTCTCTCTCTCTCTCTCTCTCTCTCTCTCTCTCTCTCTCTCTCTCTCTCTCTCTCTCTCTCTCTCTCTCTCTCTCTCTCTCTCTCTCTCTCTCTCTCTCTCTCTCTCTCTCTCTCTCTCTCTCTCTCTCTCTCTCTCTCTCTCTCTCTCTCTCTCTCTCTCTCTCTCTCTCTCTCTCTCTCTCTCTCTCTCTCTCTCTCTCTCTCCCCCCCCCCCCCCCCCCCCCCCCCCCCCCCCCCCCCCCCCTCTCTCCCCCCCCCCCCCCCCCCCCCCCCTCTCTCTCTCTCTCTCTCTCTCTCTCTCTCTCTCTCTCTCCTCTCTCTCTCTCTCTCTCTCTTTCTCTCTCTCTCTCTCTCTCTCTCTTTCTCTCTCTCTCTCTCTCTCTCTGTCAGAATTCCGAAAAAAACAAGCGTTTCGAACTCCCAAGAGGGGCTAAAGGCGGTCGCGCGCAGCGCGGTCGCGTTGCGTTGGCCTTGAGCCAGGCATCAACTAACAAAGAAGCGGACTGAGCCAAGGCAATTTTGGGACGCTTTTCTGGTGATTTCTCTCTGTAGTTTCGAGTCTTGGTAACATCATTTATTGAGAACCGCTTGGAGGACACGTCGGCGCTCAGAAGCCAATATTCGCGCGGCCGAATCGCGTCTGTAGGGGTCGGCCGTAGTTGTACGACCTCGTGTTGTCGTTCACCTGGTCGAAGCCGGCCAGGTCCATGCTGGAAACGCCTGAAAAAAAATCGGTAGCTAGGAAATGATAGTTCTACGCATTTAAAGCGGCTTTCAGGAAGACTTTTAAAGGAGCTGTCAACGCATGGCGATCGATTTTTTGAGGTATGGAAACCTTCTGGAAGTAGAGGCTCAGTGGTCGCAATCCATTACGCAATGGAAGGGCGAGCGGACGAAGTGCGTGTCGCGGCGCCTTTTCAATAAGAACTCGATATCCAGCCAAATCTATAGAATCTATCGTAAAAATCGGACACGACTGCGGCCCGCTAGAAGGGGGTGGGGGTGATTTTTTTGGGGGACACCCTGTAAGTCATGCCTTATCCACTCCCTTAAAGACAAGCGAAGCGTGAATAGCCAAGTAGCAAGCAAGAGCGCCAGTATGGCTCAAAAATATATAGGCTTACATGCGCCAATGTTGCACTATTATTACCTGGTACCGGCTCATAAAGTTGCCTGGGTAGATCTGGAAATCGTGTTTTTCAAGGGTATTTTTTAAGGGTTTTACAGGTTTAAAGATTTAAATTAAGTTAAATCCGCAATTTTCGGTTCTGGTTTTTAGCGGGGGGAGGGTGGGTTTTCTGGGGGAGTTCACACCCATTTCGCGATATGCCTAGACAGATTTTCCCTGGGAAACCCCTCCTGACCCCGCTAACAAACCAGTGCCTCCTTTTCAACTTACTAAACAGTGGCCTGCCATTGCCACCACGAAAAGCGACGACGGAGCCGAGGAGCAGGAAGAGCATCAACAGAATCGCCTTCAGCATTTTGGCCTACCTAAAGGGACAGTGAAATCAGAATTCGCACATCGGGGATCGAAAATATTGCTCAAAACCACTGAAACTATTCCCCGAAAAGCACCAGCAAATAACAAATAGTTTTATTAATAAACGACGCGGTTTCAGAAACAAATTGGCAACTATGAAAGTTTGGTCACTGGGTCCTCTAAGGAAACCAATGAATTCCAGGTTTTCAAAGACGAGGCCACTCCCAAAGGAGCGACTCTGAACGGAACGGCTACTTGTCGAAAATGAAATTTCATGGAGAAATTAGGACCTAAAAAGGCACCCGGTTTTCTCCCAGCCGATCAGACTGCTCCTCAATTTACGGGCAACGGTTCTAGTTGTAACCAGATGCCCACCGGACCCGACCGGATCCCAGCGAACCCCGGAAATCTTGGCTTTCGCCGACGCAGTGCAACGCAACACGAACATAAACGTCCGTAGTCTTTCTTCTATGATATTTTTTTGGGGTGAAAACGAACTTTGTAAACCCTGCATCGATTCTTGAAACCCAGAAAGAACGACAAAAAAAAGATTTCTTGCTATTTGCGAGCGTGAAATTACCGCCGCAACGTGAAAATTTCTGCATTCTCCTAGAAAAGAGATTGGAAGTGAAAGGAGACTTTGATGTTGCGCAGTGATTTGTAACCTAAAAGATTCTTAGTATTTACGCGCGCAAATCACGTCAGCACTGTCTGGGTCAAAACACCTTTTTAACGCCGCGCAGGTTCTTTGAGAACGAAGAAAAAGACTTACAGAAAAATGGCTAAAAAATTCTTTTTTTCTGGAAGAGGTTTTTTTCTGAAAAGGTTTTAAAAGTGCTAAAGGAGGTATGGTTATTGCGAGTGCGAAACCGCGGCCGCAACACGAAAAAGGCCTTGATCCTTCCAAAAAAAGAGTTTTCGGTGAGAAAATGCCTCTTTAAGGGAGTGGCTTCTTTGATACCTAAAACAAACGGCAAAATAAGATTTATCTATTTATTTGCGCGAGCACGAAACCAGGAACCACTAGATGCCTCCTTGCTTTCCAGCCGCCCATCCGGAATAACTAATGATGATCTCTACTGCTATAAATAGATCTTTTAACGTTAGTGACAGAAAAATAGGGCCCAGTAACCTCCGCGGGCGATAAAAATGATCCCGGAATCCCGGCGCAGCTTTTACCGGGCCCCGGTGCTTCGAAAAAGCCCTGCCGGCACAGCTTCATAATCTAAAATTCGTTCCTTGCCATCCGAGGCGACGAGGCTTCTCGTCGCTCCTTGCCGTGCTGCTGCTAATTCTCCAAGTGCAACATTCACACATTGGTTTACCACTACGAGCACCGCCGGCTGAACTCGAGGGCACGGCTCAAGATTTCTCCAAAAAACCTCTGTGTTTGCGGGGTCTTTTGGGGAAAACCACGGCTCATTTCGTGGAAAACTTCATGCTTCACGCCCACGCTTCAATCGCAGAACCTAAAAGCTTCTTTCCGGTCGGGAACAAGCTTTTCGCGCACGGAATTTTGCGCTGGTTCCGAATATTTTTGCCAAAGTTATGGACGACCCACGACAGGGAAAGTCCAAAATGGGCCGCTTTCAACGGTTTCCCCCGATTTAAATAGTTCATAACTTTCGGCAAGTCGCGATCCTGCAAGTGTTGTAAACAGCTTCGCAATCAGCGGAAAATTCTACACAAGCTAAGCTGGGCCTGGCCCCAGTTGAAACCCGGCAAAACTGAAAAATGTCTGTTAGTCCGAATTTGCCACTGTTAGGGCGCAGAAATTCAACTTCAGGCTAAAAACTACGAGCTACGAGAAGTCAAAGCCAGCAAACCCCACGAAAAACATCTTTCCGGGGTCGTTTTCACGCTGACACCGAATCTAACAAAGTCGCCATTATCACTTTCGCGGTTGGCGACGAATGTGAACCGTATCTGGGTTCGGCGTGAATAACGCCCCGCGGCGCGTTTCGCGGGTTTTGGTGAGGTTGGACTTCTTTTAGTTTCAAGCCTAAAGTTAAATTTTCGCTTTAAAAGCCCCCAAATTCCAAGTCGGCACTGAAAACCACCATATTCTGGTGCAACCAAAATGCCAAAAATAAATAATATGTATTCTAGCAAAGCACAGCGCGAGGAGGGGGTAGGCGATAGTCACATGGTTGGGGTCAGGGAGGAGCACCGTTGGAAGGTCTAGAAAATGAGCTCAATTTACAGCGCAAACCTTTAAAAAAATTTGGGTTTTAAAAGGTTTAAACCGAAAAAGTCCAAATTGAAAAATTCGCATAATTGAGCTGGGGGAAAAACAGGGCAGGCGGCAGTGTAGAAAGCACACAAAAAAGCTACAGCGCTGGAATCACATATCGGAAAAGGAGATCCAAAAAAATCACAAGCTTCAGGGTGAAATGGCGGGCGTACCGAGCACGGGGAAAATGTATAAAAGACGTAAGCAATAAACTTTCAGCCCAATTGGACGGCGGCGACGCCGTTGGCCAGATGAGCTTCGCGGGTCAGCTCGATGAGTTGCCTGGAAAAAATATACAGAATCTACCCAAAAAAATCCCCCTCTAGCGGTCCCCAATCAGGTCCGATTTTTACGATTTAGGTATGTTGTCTACAGTAGTTCTCGGCGGCTAAGGCGATATGTTCTCTTCCGATTTTCGAAATTCCCCGAATTTTTAGCCCGATTTTCCTCGTTTTTATGTGCAAAAATTACAGATTTATCTCCAAAAACCTCGATTTAAATCGGTCTCAGCCCGATTCAAGTTGTGTTTTCTCAAACGGGTTTCAAGAAGCTGCTCGGGGCCGCCAGGAAAGGTTTAAAAAATTGAAATGAATGAGGTTTTTGTTAAAAACCCTTTCCTTGGGGACAGCCTCTACATAAAAATCTACGACTTTGCAAAAAAACACCTATCCGAGCCGCGCTCTATCTTTCGATAGGAAGGCCGGATCGGGCTCGGAGCTATACAACGGAAAGCCCAGAAAATGGCGGGTTTGCATTCGTCATGATAATTCTGATTTTTCTTTAACGCGACATGTTATAACCTATTTAAAAACGTTAAGAAAAGCTTCCTATATAGGCAAAGGCACAGTCCCTATCAAACTTGAAGAAAAAACGTCACAAAAGTTCAAGCGAATCTACATGAAGGGTGCAAACCCACGATTTCCTGAGCTTTCTCACGTAGTAACTACCATTCTGAGCTCGCGACAAATGTAATATTTACAAAATTGAAGGTATCAAAATCACCTTCGTAATGACAGTGCCTTGCTCTCCAGCTGTCGCTCCTTCAGGCGCCATTGGGCCGCAGCCTCGCGAATTGCGTTGACCTCGCTCCAGTCGCGTTGCCAGCGCAGGAAGAGGCGTTCCCAGATTTGCTAAACTTACGAATTATGCCAATAAGCCATTTTTTTAATTATTGAAAATCCCAAGGGTCAGTTTCGGTCGATTTTTGGTCTAGAAAACGCTATTTCGCAGAAGAGAGAGCGCAGACAATCAGATACAGAAAAACGTAGCGTAGCGTCTTTCTAGCGTGTTTCTCGTCAGGTCAAAATCGCAAAAACAATTTTAGACATTTTAGAAATGCCGATTTGGCTAGGTTTGGCCAATTTCTTTGGGGGTTGGGAGGTGCTAGGTAAATGAGCCGCGTTCCAGATTAGGTATTGTCCAAAAATTTCCGTGACTTCCGGTCAAGAGGCGCCTCGACAGCTTCGTCTTTTTTCCCAGGAATTTACTTATAAAAACTTTAATTACTGCGATTGCCTTAATACGACTATGCTCTATCAGATGGCGTCAAAAACTGCGTCAAAAAAACTGTGCAAACGCTATAATCGGGCTTCTTCGGTTCTGCCCTGTCAGCGGGGGGTTAGCAGGGGGAATAACTTTCTGTTTTTCCACCAGTTGATGATACGTAATGCTTTCAGTTTTTGAGTGCTAGAATTACAAAAAATGTTTTTAAAAATTCTGCAAATTCAAAAGTTTTTATTATTTTTTATATTGTTTTTCTATCCAAGAACTCTGGAAAATGCTAAAGAAAATGGTTTAGATTTTGTTATAAAACCGTAGAGGATCATAGGGAGAAGTTTGCTTTCTCACCCGCCCCGCTACAAGTCCAGAACCGCTTCTTCAAGTCTTCGCGGTGTCCTAAACTCACAATGCTCTGCGGCGACACGCTGGGCCACAGCACCGACTCGTTCGGCTCGTACAGCGTGTTCACGTAGCCCTTCAGAATTTCGGGGTTGTTGACGTAGGACCAGAGGGAGACGGTGTGCTTCTTCACGTTGTGCTTGAACTTCTCCTAAACGGACAGGATGAAAAATGTTGGAAATCGCCAACCATCTCGTTGTTCCCCAGAAACGAGCCAAACTCTGAGGCGTACGAGTGCTCGAAGAGGTCGAGCAGGAAATTCTCGGTGAACTCGAACGAGTGCGGGAACTGGGCGCACATCTGAAATGTGAAAAGTAGAGGGTTCTTTGGCGTTATCGGTGGGGGGGGGGAGAATCAACTTTTTCCTGGGATCCAATTTTTTAAAGAACGAGAGCGAAGGGGCTTCTAAACTGTTTTATACTATTCTATAACGTAAAAATTTTACAAACTTTTGTAAACAATACCAAAAATATACTTTTTCGACCAAAGTGGTCGATTTTAGGGCCAAAATTTCGAAGATTTATGAGAATGATTTTTAGTTTAGAAAAGAATTAACTTTTGGCCTTTTTTAAAGGTTTTAGAATTTGTAGCTTATTAAAAACACTCATAAAAAGGTTCTGTAAGATCAATTTTTACCTGCCACACACAATCCAGGAAGGCCAGGAAGACTGGCGATTCGTACGGGCCGGTGATGGCACCCTCTGCGAACGCCGAGTGAGCATTCCGCAACCCAAACGGATGTCCTCCAGAGATCCACTCGCGCTCGATCACCGACTCGAACCTAGAATTGGCAATAAAACGAGTCGAAATCGCATAAAGTACCCTCTAATCGTTCTCGCGTCCGGATCGAGCAGAATCTGTGCCAATGCCGTGGCGAAAAGCGTAGAATCGACGCCCTCGCCGCCGTGGACCACCACCGGGACTTCTAAAAAATAAAGCTCAAAACTAAAAGGGCAAACGAAAATGGCAACCAGGACCAGAACCAAAAACTAATCAGCCAAATTCAATCGCAGCCAAATTCCAAGGCCTAAAAAGGAAGCAACAACATTGCGATTCGGCTATTCCAAGCGCGCTTCTTTCTCATTATCGGGGGGGGGGGAGGGGAATCAACTTTTTTCCAAGGATCCATTTTTAGTATAAATCATGTCACGTCTCTAAACTGTTTTTACTGTACTTGAAAGGTCTAGAAAATTTTATCAATATATTAATACAAAAAAAAATATAGTTTCTGGCCAAAACTGGTCGATTTTTTCGTAGTTTTTTTAATGTGTTCCACCAAGAATAAAGTAAATTTTACTATATAGGAAAAACTGACCCCCCCCCCCCGATAATGCGCAAGAATCCGGAGCACGCAGCGTGCCATTGCAAATGATAAAAGCAGTCGACCACCAGGTGTCTGTCACTACGCACCTGAACTACCTTCGCAGGCCACGCATTGCGCCACGTTCGCCGCCGCGTTCAGGTAGTCAGCCACCGAGGAGAGCCAGCCGGCCGACCCGATCTTCGACATCCAACGGTCCGACGAGACCGACCGGTCCAGGCATACTGAAAAATAGTGCTTTGGTCATTTTTCATATACTTTTGACCAAGAATTGACATTTTTTGAAAATTTCTCTAAGTTTTAACGAGCTTTTCATATCTAAAAACTGCGCAAAATTCCATGAAAATCGCTAAGAATTTGTCATGGGGCCGTGCTAATTCTCCGGTACCAAATATCTTGAAGCAACAAAAAAAAACACTGATCCGACATTTCGTTATGCGAAAATTTGAATATGCGGAAATCCAAAGACGCATAGTTTTGTACACCGAAAGATTTGGTCGGTTCTGTCCGCTTTTGCTGGCAACAGAATTGGGTTTTTCTCTGTCAGAATCAGCCAGTCATACGTTTTTCGTTAGCGGTTCGGGTCAGCATAGCAATCGGATGGAACGTGTTTTTAAGTTTTTAGTGCCAAGTAGTTCCATGCTCGAAATAGAAAAAATTACAAAAAAGGTTCGAACAACCATGAAAAACACGAAATTTTCGTCATTTTGCGCCCAAAAAATCCGTAAAGAAAACCTAAACATTGATTTTTTTACTTTGCCGTTTTTATGCTCAGTAATGGCTAAGAATACACTTACAACGGCAGGCCCAATTTATCTAACAAAACTAGGGTTGCGGCGAAAAAGGTTGGGTCCAAGACAGCGAAATAACCGGAAATGCCTCCGTAATGATTTTCGACGTAATGAAATTTCTGCGTAATGAACGAAGTATAATGTTGATAGGTTCTAAAGTATCTCGGCCCCACGTACCATCAACCATTTTTGCCAGCGAATCGTGTAAATCCTTGATCCTGGGCGTGGCACAGTTGAAGTAACGCCATTGGGAGTAGAATTGTTGACTCTCAGCGCCGCCACCTAAAAATAACAGCTCATCCTCAATTTAAAGAGCAAAAAATGGCAGCATGCAGTTTTTCAAGTCCGCAAAATAAATACCGAAAATTCTATCGTGTCGCCTACAAAAACAAGGAGCTCTCACCTTTGGCCTTGGAAAGTGCGGCCTGCTGCTTGCCCCGGGTGTCGATGATGATACCGCGGGAGTCGCGGAGGAACGCGTTTAGTATCGTCTCGTCCTCCTTGCACCGTCGATTCGTCGGCCCGATCAACGGTTGGCTGCAGCGGATTACCGGCGACTGAAAATTATAGAAATTTTAAAATAAACTGGAAAAATTGCAAACTTCAATAGATTTAGGCAAAGCCGGAAATTAAAAGTTGTCCAAAAAAGGGGTGTTCGATTTTGTGTTATTTAGCTCTAAATCGAATGCTCGCGAAAAGGTTCGCTAACTCGATATTTTCTCCCCAATTTTGGAACTTGCATTTTCCGCAGTTTTCAAAACTTCACATCTTCCCAAAAAAGCAAAATGACAGCAGCCAATCTTGCAAAACGTGGTATTTTTGAGAAAAACCTTGCAGCGGAAAACTCGTGAAAATTCGGCGTGTTTCCCGAAATTAATTTAATATCACTGTTTACACTAAAAAATCAGAATTCGGACAAAACAAGATATATCTTCGCCTTTTCGTAAGCTTTCGATTTTTACATTTCATAAAACCTGGATCTGAAACTAGTCAATGTCAAGTCAAAGGAAAGTACAATCTGAAGTTTGCAACAAAAAAATGGCTTCGATCAAGACAAAAATCAACTTCCAAACACACCTTCGTAGGTTTATGAAAATACGCCAACACCGGAAATCGGCTGCCATCACGAAACGTTGCACTTATCCTCAGGTAATCATCGCCAATACCTCTGGGCACGACCACTTTTTCCGGGTAGGACGTGCACACCTAAAATGCTCTCAAAGACTTCCACGTTCAAAATACCTTAAAATCCTTATTGACCTCGGATATCCGGTAGAGGTCGGGGGCGCAAAGCGAGATTCGCGAGAATTCCGTCTCCACGTCGAACGCGTTCCAGCCGTCGTCGAGCACGGTAAACGGGGCGCGGTAGAAGAACGGGTAGTCGAGAGAGAAACCGTCTAAACAAGTCATTCGGTTCTGGACAGTTAGCGGGATGAATTTTTCTGCCCCAGCCCCGTACAGCCCCCACAATCAATAGAAAAAACGTTTATAGCATTTTACACTATTTACGATCAAGACAGGCCATTTTTCTTGAATGTTACACTACTTATAATAAAAATAAACCAATTTTAAAGCATTTGCATCACTTATGACCGATATGAGCTTTTGTTCTAGCTTTTTACACAGATGAGAATCAGCATAAACCTAATTTAAAGCATTTTACACTACTTAAAATCAAGATAAACGCCTTTTGTAGCATTCTACACTCTTTCTCGATATCGAAACCTCTAAACAAAATAATTTTTTCCAAAAATTTTGACTTTTCCGGAAAAAGGCATGAAAACCGAAAACGAATTGCCTAAGAATAAAAACCCACTAAAAACTTCAAATACCCAATATATTAGTAACAGGCTACGCACCCCCCGCTAACAGTGCAGTACCGGCGCCTCAATCCTACTGGCAAATCGGGAAAAATGAAAAGCAGCTAACTCACTCAGATTACTCAAAGTTTCTATCGTCCTCGCCGCCAGCGTGCACTCCTCAAAATCCGGCACCTCGAAGACGCATCTACAATAAATTTTTCCTAACTTTCTAACTTTTCTTACATCATGAAATTCTTGCACTTTAGCGTCAAGAAGCCTCCTTTCACGTTCGGGTCCCGCGATTTCGGCTCGCAGACGACACGGTCGATCGCGCGGTGGAGTAGCTAAAAACTGAATATTAACAAGAATACAAAACCATCGCTGTCACTACTATTTCGCAAAAACTCACACAAAACTCGTCCTTGTTCGTCTCGCCGGCGCCCTGCGGCGTTTCCACTTGCGGCGCGAAGATTAGATGGTGGCCTATAATGAAAAATAATGAACAAACGCTGATTGAACGCACCCATTAGCACCAAGGAGCCCATTTGGGGTGGCCGGGGGCCCTGCCTGAGGAAGACGCCGCTGACCCGTGGTATTTCGATGGCGTCGATCAGCTCCATCCTGCCTGAACAGTTTTTGTCAAGTTTTCAAGACTAATTGCACATAGAAAGGAAAAAAAAACAAAGTTTCCAAGTTCCAGCGGTCCGCCGGAAGCTTACAATGAAAGTGCACCGAATTCGAGCCAAAAATAAGTGGATCTGAGAGAATCGGACACGCAGATTCCTAATCTGTTGTGAATTTGCGATCTGGAAAGGACAAGAAGGTTATGATGCTTCAAAGCTGGCAAAATTGCCAAAAACGGCATCTTCACGGCCCTGTAAAAATTGGAGGATGGAAATTAGCAAAATCTAACAAGTGCCTCTGGCCCAGGAAAACATTCTCTTTCAAATGCATTAAGGCCAACGAGTTACACGTTCTCCCACTAGAGTTTTTAACGTTAAAACGGCAATTAAAATGTGGTTCTTGCATTACCCAGCCTTCTGCTTTCCGGTCATAAAAAGCCAGCATTAAAATAACTAACCTAACAAAAAGAAAGCGCTTGTTTGCTCACCGTTTCAAGAGCTATCGAAAGCTATCAAAATCGCAAGATTTGGGCGATTTTACGGGCGCTAGAGGTAGATTTTTGGGGCATCCTGCAGCTTTGAAGAAAAGCTATTTTAAAAAGCTAAAAGCTAGCAGAACCGCACGAAATGTTTAAATTTGCGCGAGAAATCGCAACTAAGTTTATCGCCTGTAAAACCCGTTCAGTCAATCGTCGGCTGGCTATTTGCCAGCCTCACTCCCCGCCTGCCACCTCTCCATTCCCTCACTCTCTCGCCAGAGCGCCGGATAATAGCCAATGCTGAAAACCAAGCGAGCCACGCAAAAACGAGCCGAGTGATGCCAAGTTTATTAGAAAACACGAAAACAGCATTTGGCATACGTTTATGTCGCAGCTTTACAGCGAAAATAGTTCCAAAGGGACGGCATCAGTGGCGCCGGGGTAATGAGCGGAGATCAAGGATCTGGAAAAGTGTGCACGTAAATTGGTTTGACGGCCGAGACAAGTTGCGGCAGGACAAAGCGGGGGATGTAATGACCGGCAATGAATAGATCATGTGGGGAAATGAAAGGAATGTACAAAAGTTAGGCGGCTTTGGGCAGCAGCAGCCTTCGTAGGTCGTCGCCCATCAGCTCGGAGAGCGCCTCGTCGTGATATTCCTAAACAGACAGTTTGTATCGAAGCCATAATGGGCCATCGAAAATATGGGAACGCACTTCAGCGACTCGCGAAAAACGTCGTTTGAGCGAAAATTAAAAAACGACATTTCCCCCGAACCTCGGCTTACAAACACCTAAGACTGAAAAATTCGTAATTTCAAACTTTTCTAAACTTATCGAATTAAATTAAGGCAAATTGGAGCTATTCAACACAAAAACTACGGCCTGGATTGATAGGCGAAGGCTTTTCGAGCAAGGGTCCAAAAGAACTTTTAAAAAACGATTGAAAAACAAAAAGAAACCCTCCAGCAGCGAATTTACCCTATAATAGCTGTACCTGAACTTAATTTAATTCATAAAGACAAAACCACGTTAAAACTAGCCAATTTTTATGGTTTTATATAACTCGCTGCAAAGACGCTTTTAACGTTCGCTGAAATGGCCTTTTCGCGATTCGCTAAAGTAGCGTTCGCGCAATTGCCATGGCCCCAGCCAAAGCAGCAAGTAAAACTACCTCAGGTATAGTTTGGAGCATCCAGTGGAAGTACTCGGTGGTCAGCGGATCTTCAGCCGTCGTGTATTCGCCGGAGTGGGTGCACGCGTCGATGTCTGCGCCCAGCTTCCGCGCTAAAAAAAGCGTTGATTGAAGATGTCAGGCATACTTTTCAACTCTCGCGTTCGTGGGGCCAGCTTGTCCAGTGGTCGCACCAGCAAATTCTGGATGGGCTCGTCCAAGAGATTCTGCAAAAAGTTAGTGTTATAAAAGCGCTAGAATGCCTAATTTGATAGGACAAAATTGATGAGGCGCAATCAATGCTCGCTAAGGTTAACACTAGGAATAAGAATAGCTAGCGCAAAATTGATTTCGAAAGCCCAATTTCTGATCAATTAGAGAGACTTGACAGAAAATAGATCGGCGACCAAAATTTTTTATCGCAACCGTGACCAGCGAATTACTTGCGAAAAACTCAAAAGGAGGGGGCGAAAACAAGGATTGCAACAGCAGGCTAGGTTTTTCCAAAGAGGTCGGCTAAGAATGCGCAAATATACCGAAGGAAAGCGCTAAAAATCTAAAACCCTTACCGGGTCGAGGTCCTCAATCAAGCAATCGAACCACGTCTGCACCAGTTGATCGTCGTGGTGCACGTGGTCGCGTCGAGCGCATAGTTCATCGAGCGGGTGAGGTTCACGAGGGACTAAACAAGGATCATAATTTGATTGTAAGACACCACCTTCATCGACTTTGTCCGCAACCTTTGGCGTTCGGCGAGGTCTCGCGGGCTGCCGACTGCTTGTGCTTCTCGAGCTGGCCGGCACGTCAGTGGAACCCTTCTTTTTCTTTGGTGGCATCGCGTCGCTGCTCTGCAAAAAAAGGTTGAACATTTCGTTACTTTGAAGCCATTTCGTAGGATATGAAAAAGAGAAACGAGGAAAATAGCATCTTTGGAAATTAAAGATTTGTTGCGAACGGCGCGGAGGGCGTGCTAAAAGGCGACAAACAATCCGAAATGACAAGTTCAAGATCGAGAGGCTACGGAAATTGCGCGAAGACATTGCAGCGAAAGCCGATGATAAAACAAAGCTTGATAACTTTAACTTTAACGCTATGGTTCTCAATGCCTTTTGGATCTTCAAAGAAAATTAATGGGTGCTAATGCAGTAATTAATGATACTAAACGCTATAAGTAACTCGCAGGGCGACGGGATATTAGTAACTCGCAGGGCGAGTTTTGTGCATTCCGGGCGACCGGACCTTTATCCCTGGGTCGTAATTTCCCTTCTAATAACAGCTAGTATCGTTCAGGTAACTGATGAAGACGGGGAATTTGGTGGAAACTTTAACAGGGGCTGTTAACCTATGCATTTTTCAACACTGGCTCATTGAAATGGCGCCTTTTACAGTCAGGCGCCGAAAGAGGGTGTCGCTAAAAGTCGATCGCACAATTGGCAAAGTTCCCAAAATGGAGCATCAAGGAAAAACGGGCAGGAAAACTATAATAAAACCTCAGAAAAATGTTGTAAAACTGAAACGAGCTTTAATTTAGTGGTTTGGGGCGTGGGGAGAGCCGCGGCGAGAGGCCCGTGGATAGGCGCGCTTTGTAGCATGGGGACCGGCGGCCGCCGGCGGAAATGAAAGTTTGCAACATCGAACCCTTCTATCAAATAAACAATAAACCATCAATATCCAAAAGCAATAGTGGCTTATTAAAAACGCCCGATGATGACGAAGCAGCCGAGCTGTCATTTGAAATTTTCCGAATTTTGGAGCCCGCCGGCCCAGCCGTTGCTCATAAAACAAGATTTGTGATGTAAAAAGTTCTGTAAATTATCAGCTTTATTTATCATTCCTTCGCTAGGTTCGTTTCGTTTTGTGCGATGCGATGTCAGCCCAAGCACCCGGTTTATTGCAGAGATGGACAGTAGATACGATGAAAACGGATACACATACAAAAGAATGGGATACAGAGAGGGGACATCATACTACAACAATGCAAAGGGCATGGGGCTGGGATGCGTCGAGTTGTTAGTTGGCGAGTATCGTGGCCGTCATCACGGCGAGGGAGTGATGTCGAGTCATGGTTGGATCGTTCTGAAAAGAAACCGTGTAGTTGAGCTAGAAGGCTTCACTTACACTTGGCTTCGGAGGTTTCGGTTGTATCAGATGCGGCCTCCGTGTTGGTGATCGGCACGACGTCCATGTCGACGCTGATGTTGCCGGCGCCGACGTTCATCTACCAACAGGCAATGTTAGACCCCGCAGTACCACCAATACTCTCTCAAAGCCTCTCTACCCACCATGTCATCGACAATCGGCTTCTTTCCCTTCGGGCCCTTGTCCTTCTTCTTCAGACAGCAACACAACACGATGACGGTCACGATGATAAACACGAAGAGGGCACCACACAAGGCTGAAGAAACGATTTCACAAGTACGACCAAATGTTCTACCTGCAATCAAGATGACCTCATCCCCCAGCCCGTCATTCGGTTTTTCGGTCGTTGTCTTTGCAGTCGTCTTTGCCGTTGTCGTCGTCGAGGCTTTTGTCGTGCTCGTTGTCATGGCCGAGCCGACGCAATGGTACTGAAAGAAGTGTTCATCTACCTTCATCCCTTGACAAGTCTCCCACCTTCACCCTCTCCTCTTCCGTCAAAGCACTGCACTGCTTGTAGACGACGCATGGGACGCCGTCGACATTTTTCTGGTAGTAGAGCAGATTCTTGCGCCAATCCCTCGCATCCGGCTGAAATACGGCAATTGTCTCGTGGTAGATGATCATCTTCTGTCTGAATGACGACTAGAAAACCCACTGCACGTCCTTCGACATTTCCACGACACTGCGGAATCGGATTGCACGGTGGGTTGAGTGACCACGGGTCTTTGTGAGTCGACTTTTCCGCGTCGCACCAATCCATCTTTTCCTGTAAAGAGTATTGTGGCGAATCAAAAGAGATATCTACCGTAATACTGAGGACACCGAAATAGTCGTTTTCCGGATTGCTAGGGATGGGCCGACAATTCGGTTTGTCCGTCAATCCACGGCCATTCTCATTTCTTGGACAAATATCCATGCAGTTCAGCAGATCTCCGTTTTCAGCGACAGGCCTCAGGTATTTTTTTCTGTAAAATACAGGGGATAATGGATGAGACTGTGATGCGGACTGACTCATCGAATTCTCCCGGTTGGTCCAGTTTGCAGAACGGCAGTACCATACATCCCCAACTCGCCACATTCTTCGGCTCGAACTGATTGCCGTGAGGATCGGTGCACCACTGAAAATACTCAATACATCATACTTCGGACGGGGAATTGTCACCGCGAGGTGATTCCCTACAAAACGATACTCACCGGCTTGTATCTGCCCTTGCCGAGGATGTAGGTCTTTAACGGACGCGGGTAGCAGATGCGGGCCAGCGAGGCATTGGCCAAGATTTCACTTGAAAGGGATGGAGAATGATTGGAACGAATGAATTGTGATGATACCTCGGAAAGGCATTCTGCTCCTCGCACCATGTCCCTTCGTAACATCCAAAATGCAGCTTCATCGAGGCCATCGCCAGTTCGTTCGCCGTCTAAAGTCAAAACTCAGGTAGGAAAAGGAACGACAAACCAGTTTGTCAAAATCTTCCCGGCGGCACTTGGGGTTGTAAGTGGGGTTGATCGGGTAGTAGATGAACACGTTCGCGTCCTCGTCTCGCTTGGTGCGCTGACGAAGACGGATCCGCTTGATTGGCGCTCCAGGAGCGGCAACTTCACGACGGACGCGCTGGAAAATTTTTATGATTTGTGTATCGACAAAGGTTATTTTATAAAACTGTCGTCACACTGAAGAACCAACCTTGTCTGGCTTGTAGCGAGGGCCTGTGACGGGTACGTACCACTGAAAGCGAGTGTTTCAAAAGGCGTCGAACTAACGAAGTGCAACGGCCTGGGACGCCTCAATTATGCCAGTTTTTGGTTTATCTGTTTTAAAAACAGGAAACGCGCTTCTACAACGGCATCCAAGAGGCTGGTAAGAGTCTAGGGAATCCCCCCCCCCCCGCGGCCCAGTCGCAACGTTTAGCTTTCAGCCATACGTCCTATTAAAGCGTGGAGTATGCCAAACTGAAACAAAGTTTCGTAATTCAATCACGGAGAATATTTTGAAATACTCCACACATTAATAGGACGTATAGCTGAAAAATTGGGGTTGGGGGTTTCCCAGACTCTAGCCCCTGGGATAATTCGAAAAGTGTTTTAATTATCCTTTTAGCAAAATCGAACTGTTTTTGTAGCGCAAAATTGTTTTAAAAAAGAAAAATTGTTAGTTGAAGTTTTGGTGGTAAAAATCTTTTTTTTTTGCGTCGGCTGAGGCACCCGCACTTCTATGATGTATTTTCGTGAGGTTTATTTCGTGATCGGGAGACTCTGGAAGTTATCTCCAGGAAACCCTTGCAAAACGGCTGGCCCACCCATTCGTTTTTCACAGGCTCTTGGTGCAGATAGACGGGCCAGAGATGGTGGTATCGACAGTTGGGATGCTTCGACATGTAGAAATGCTTTGGCTGGAAGAAGTTTTACAGCTTCGATTCCATAAAATCAATCTACACTCCGGCAACCCGGGTAGAAGCTAACTAGATTGTAGCTTACCTTGTCGCCCGGTACGAGGCACTTGATTTGACAGGAGGGATGAGCGTTGTCTCCAGCATACCGGCACCCATGGCAGTCCTGATGATCTTGCCATTCGGGACGAGCACAGTTCATGCAATACGGATCCGCATCGTCACACTGAAAACAATTATCGGTGACAAGACGAATCGAATATCTGTAAGTATATCGACAAAATGTGTGAGGTGTGTGAGTTAAAAAAAACAGTCTATCAAGACAAGATAGAAAAGGTATTCGGTGTGCGCGTTTTTTTTTTGTCAACTTCTGTGATAATGTTCGGTAGCTAGAGCCTTAGGGGCATATTTTAAGGTCTGTTTGATGTCATGACCAGGGCCGTAGCGATCCCCGATTTTTGGGGGGCAACTCCAAAAAATTTTTGGCAACGTGTCAAAACTATCAAAAACAGCGCCGCAGGCGAAAATTTTTGAAAAACTTAGGGCCATGACAGTAAAAATAGTCTTAAAAACAATTATAAAAAGCGCCGCAGGAAAAAATTTCACGATAAAAAATCATAAGGGTCCCCCCTTATGAATTTTTCGGCCTTCGGCCGATTTTTGGGGGCATCTTGCGCCAGTTGCCCCCCTTCCTACGGGCTTGGTCATGACCAGGCCCGTAGCGGAACCGAAATTTCGGGGGGGGGGCCCAAAAATTTTGGCGGCCTCCCCCCGTCGCCATTTTTTAAAAAAACCGAAAATCGCGTCAATAATAGCGCCGCAGGCAAAAAAATCGCACAAGGCGTTCGCTACACTCAAATTCGTGTGAAAACAAGCCAGAAAACGCGCCGCAGGCGAAACTTTTCTATGAACAATTGATTCACCAATGAAAAACCAGCGCCGCAGGCAAAAAATTTTGAAAAAATAAGCTTCATATACGTAAAAACTGTTTGAAAAACAGTAATAAACAGCGCCGCAGGCAGAAAAATTTTTGGAACTAAAAATCATAAGGGTCCCCCCTTATGAATTTTTCGAACCTCGACCGATTTCGGGGGGGGGGCCCAGGGCCCCCTGGGCCCCCTCCTACGGGCCTGGTCATGACGTACCTAATGGTCTTGAAATAAGTGCAAACACACAAAATTTGGCAAAATAAGGTAAAAGTCGCTTAACGGGGAGGGGACAAATAACGGCCGTGGAAAAAATTTTTGTATTCTCAAGAATATCCTGCTATTTTGAAAACGCCATCGGATAGAGCGTCGGAAATTATACTA